CCTGGAGTTGTGTTTTGTTTCATTTACACAAGTTTAACACACAAACCCTGCATATTTATTAGGCGATGTTCTTTTTCTCAAGCAGAAAAAACTCACATGTGATAATAGAAGTGCTCCATTGTGTTTTTAAACTCCATACAACCTCACTAGAATCATTTGGATCATTTCAGCCCTGGAATTGCCAATCTCTTTGAAACAAAAGGTAAAAAGTAGCTGTAAACTTGAAATCTACCGCTTCATTCAGGTGGAACAGAGCATTTTGAGCTTTGGAGGTGTAGACAGACTAATAAAAGTTTCCTCCAATATGTATGAATGAAACAAAACACAACTCCAGGTCTATTTTTCAGGCGATAACAACCCTATAACATGACTAAAAGCTCAGTTTTCATAAGATAGGGTTTTTAATGGACATTCTAAGTAACCATTGTGTTTTATCAGTAATAATATGAAATGCTAGCCCATTACTATCTACTACTGTTGTGCTCTGGGTTTAACTTTGAGCAATAAAAGATGCCCTAAGCAACTTTTCTAAATGAGGTTCTACCATAAATTAAATTGCTTTGACTGGGATGTTCTGCAGTACGGTATTAAACTTAACTATTTCCTTAGAGACAAGCAGATGACACAACCTGACCAAGCTTTAAGTTGGATCTATGAAGAGGCAACCCCGCGCAGATGTTTTCCTTTTTCCGTCCTAATGTGCTGTAAAGTTCAGCCTTTCCTCTCCACTGAGTCTAACTTTGAGGCGTTTAATTTGGCCTTTCAGATGCAGATGTTGTTTGATAATGTCTTCGCTCAGGATCAGTCAGTTGTGATGAATCGCTCGTTCTTGATGTTCAGAGTAAATCAATAGGAAAGAGTCATTTGACGAGCCAGCGGGTAATTGTCTCCCAGAACTCATTACAGAAGAAAGAAGGTGCTTAAGATGGAGAAAGAGACACAAACACACACAAAGGGAATTTGCATATGTCCAATACTAGACCAGTACCTGCTGGTCTTAGTAACATCCCCTTGTAGCTATGGTTACATGCACCAAAAGTCTGATTATGATCTGATTTCTGCAGATATACGATGTTTGAAAAGCCACTTAAACATGTATTACATTTGAGTAATCTGATTTCTTTCTGATTGTTTAAACCTGTGCTGGTTTTGACAAGGAAAATTGTGCAAAAAGGACAAACTATAACTGGGCAAATACAAAACTGAAAAATTTTAAATATTTTAAAAGTTATTTTAAAATTGTACTTTGTCTTCCAAATACAACAATTATGACACATGCCACCAGATTTCTGTGTATTTGGATAAAATATGATTTTTCTAGTTTAATTTTTATTCATTTTTAGTTAGGGTTAGTTGCATAGGTTCCACTGCAAAAAAAAACAAAAACACATAGTCAAGTTAAGATGACTTGAATTAAGAAAGTTTGATCATAATTTGAGTAAATTTCACTTGACAAGTAATATTATCTGCCAGTGGAATAAGACTTTTTGTACTTAAAATATGAAAATGCCTCTTGCTATACTTAAAATAAGAAAAACAACAACATTTTGTACTTTAAAATACAAAACAAAATCGAATGTTGCGAGAAAAAAACACACTTATTCCACTGGTAGATAATTTTACTTTGTAAAATAACATTTCGACAAAAAAAATCCTTCATCAGATATTTTTCTTGCTTTGGACCACAAATATTTTTCTTGCTGTGGTCCAGAGCAAGAAAAATATCTGATTAAGACTTTTTTTGCCAAAAATTTTTTTTTACAAATTGAATGAATCTATATAAAGTAAAATGTTCTTAATTTAAGTCATTTTAACTTACAGCAAGTCCTGTTATGAGTAAGACACATGATCAGGTTCAACAATTAATATTTAGCAGCTGATGTTGTCCACATTCGATAGGGGAGTGATGTTAATTGAAGCACTGCTCTGTTAGGAGCCTTGTTACTCAAGTTAGATTAATCTGAGCTTTAAATCTAGTTTGTATTTTATTCTTGACTTTTTAGACAATCTTAAAACTTTCTTGTCTGTGTTTTTCATGTGTCATCACGGTAAATTACATGCAGCCAACAGAAATCCATGTAGAACACATTGTAATTTCCCCATTGGGATACTATGGGAACGTCAGGGAATCAAAAGGGAAATCTGGCTCTTTCTACCTATCTGACAAAATCACTCTTGCCTTAGCAATTAATTATTCAAATTATTCCTTTGAATGGCCAAAATTCCTAAAAATCAATATAACAACAGTGAAATGAAACCCACAAATCACTTACTAGAAGGGATGTAACAATAACCGAAATATTGTGATATCGTATCGTCGAAGTTCTCACACTAATATCATGGACCATCACAATATATCTAGTTACAAGTCTCTTTGCTTAAATTAAGAGTTATGGTGCAGCAGTAGCTAAAAAACAACAGAGAAAACTACATAGACCATGATCCTTTGCTCCATTTCAGTGTAAACTACAAGAAGAAATAACAGTTCTAAGCACTTTTAAGTCTTAATTCTTTGGATTAAGTCTTGTCAAGGCATTTTAAGAGGAAAAAGTAGCATATTCACAGTTTTGTTAGCCTCTACAAAAAAATATCGTAATAAATATCGTACCATGAGGTTCATACCTTGACGATATCATATCGTGAGACTTGGATATTGTTACACCCCTACTTACTAGAATAAGAAAACCTTTCAGTAAAACATTGGCAATAAATGTGTTTATTTATAAGAATATGACAATCCATAATCAGTCAATTATCAATGACAGTTTATAACAAAAAGCAAAGTAACGCACTGTCTCTCATTTTACCACCCTCTCTTAAATAACAAATGTATGACAGAAGCTGGAGGAATGGTCAGAGACTGGCAGACAATCGACCACTGTCCACACTCCAGTGAACAGGCAGAATCTTGGGAAATGTAGTATTGCACATTCAGTCCCACAGCACATTCCATTAACACTGTTTTGTGCATTGAGGTGTACTGAACCTCATTAATCACGGGCTTTTATGCACCTCCATTTCTATTAGCGCATCCAGTTCTGATATTGAACTTTTCTGGTTATACAAAACAAGAGACAAATGCTCTTACCCACGGACACTTGCTGGCATCACAGTGCAATTATATTATGATTCAGTATGGATTATAAACTTAAATCAATGTAGCGGCTATTGACGCTTTACCATACTGTGCAATGTTCTGTGACGAGACAAATTGTGTTTGTTTGAACAGATTCATCAAAAGTTGTGAGAAATAAGAAAACAATTCTGCTGTGGTTTCTGATACTGTTAGATAAAATATTTTAGTATTTTAAAACCATTTGACTATCCAAGACAATGCATGTGTTAGATTGTTCGCTATTGATCGCAGGATACTGTAGATTGGAGCATTATAAACTACTGTTTTTATAATTGTGAGATAGAGCTGAATGACTTAGTTGTGTAACTTGCAACTTTTCTCTCACAAGACAAGAATTACAAGAGTTTTTCCACATTCTTAATTCTTTTTTTCTTTTGCAGTTGTTTTGTAGTCTGATTCAGCAGTTGGTTTCACTTCATAGAAACTGTCTAACCTCGCATCATTAGGATTCTTTTGCTCGATGGTAGGTGGGTACTTTTTAATTTAACCAATTGCTGCGATTTGGTCGTAACGTATGTAAGGCACCGCTAACGGGGCTAACTGGTAGATTAAGCTTTTTCCAAATCCCATAGGAAGAAGGGCAATAACTTCTTTCTCCTTGATAAAATTCACCAAACATTCTCTTCGTTCCAGCTTTAAATCCTTGATCTCGGGAATCGTTGCCAACACAGAATGTGTGGCTCTTCGCTGATTGGCTGGTGCTCCGACTCGCACTTTCGAGGTTTTTACAAACTGTAGTGTTTTCTGATTCCTGACCTAGTCACTGGACAGAAACAAAATAGAACCTGGCTAGTTGTTTTGGAAGTCGACTAGTCAAATGATTTATTTTCTATGACTTTAGAAGATACATTTTTAAACAGATAAAACATGCTGGCTGATAATAAAAAAAAAAAGCTGTAATCTTTTTCATAATTTAACATTAAACATATCTTGGCAATGCATGATTACCAAAATAATTAATAATAATTTGAATAGCTGATTAGTCACTATTATTCTTAAATGAGTGCAGACGGCGTACACACTCTTTCTGTATTTTGTCACACTGCACCAAAATCGTCATGGCGACCGATTTAACTACATGGAAAATTTTATAATGCAAATGTCCGAGAACATAAAGCTTATCTTAATACCTTCCCGACAGGCAGTTTTTGGAGGGAAATTAATTATACATTGGTTGTTTATTGGTGTCCTTAATGGAACCCGCGCTTGAGCCGGAGTGAATGGGTAGATGCAGCTGACAGCCGACTATAGAGACACAGCGCGTATGGAAAAGGCTGGCTAAATTACAGAGCAACTATAAATCTAGGAGCTCTTAGCAACAGAGTAATCAGAGATGCAGACAGGAGAAGGAGGACCTCTGCTGTCCAATTAGATTTATCATTATCTTTTCCATCCCACTTCAAGGAGTATTTAGAAATCATAGGCAACATAAAGATTTCACTGGGGTTAATATTGTTGTTTAAGTGCATACAAGACATTATGACTTTTTCTGAAATGATGTTAAAGCTGCACTATGTGACTTTTCTGGTGGGGGTTCTGTCAGTTTTTGTAACCGTGGAGACGTCTATGCCTCACCTGTATGGCATTAAACTTGTAGATCCTGCATTTATTCAATTAGTTGTTTTATTGATTGAAAATAATTTAGAAAAATATGCATTCTTACTGTGAGTGAGACGCCTCTCCACAGATCAGACCTGTAACTTGGCCTGGTGGAGTTAACTGCTAACTATGGAAAGGTTTAATGCCATACTGTGGAACATAACATCACGGAAATAAGCTCACGGCAGAGTCTTGACCAGAAAAGCTACACAAAACACCTTTGAACCTCATTCTGAATTGTGTATGTGATAATCCAATGCTGATGTTTTTAAAGTAATAATGTCATTTTTAATAATTTTGCACAAAAAAAAACATGAGACAAAAATAATGGACAACAGAAATTGCATTGATACAACAATCCTGTGGTCAACTCCAGCTCAGCAAATGTCCTTTATCATACCTTTTTTTAATCCTAGAGTCAAGTATTTCTTCATGCGTGTTATCATCAGGCTGTAGAGTCAGACCTGTAAGTGCGTGACGATTGTGCAAACGTCTTTTTCACACGTCTGAGCCACGACACGGTCCTTCTGAGTAAACCCTTAAAATGCATAATGAGCTAGACTTCAGGTGCTTGAGTTGAGATGTTTGATGCTTCTCTTCTATAGGTGTTTGATCGATTCAAGTTTATGAGATGGTTAAGAGCTCAGTGTCCCTGTGAAGTCCAAATGCAGTGCGCTGTTGGTTTTGCTATGAGGTAACGATCTCTGCTCCTAAGTGCCTCCACCCCCTCTGTGTCTCAGGAGCTGGAAAATATTCTGCAAAACAACAAAACACAACATGAAGTGGGAGACTGAAAATAGGGCCAAACAGGTGATTCAGAGAGAGGACAAAGGCAGGCAGAGCCTTACCTCTCCACACATACCATCTTTATTGTAGTTCTTATTGTCCTTGTCTACAGCGTCCTCCTCCACCTGCACACATGGGACAGCTCTCAGTATCTCACTTATTTTTCAGATATTGTAAGGATTTAAAGTAAGTTCACCTCTTTTCTCCACTTTAATTCGCAGAAGACTCTCTCAAAACACTCATGCATGTAGTTAAACTAAACATGAGAGAAACAGGAAAAGAAGAGTTTGTTACAACACAGAAATGAACTAGAGGGGGAATTTGTGTTCACTTTTGATAAAACATGGCATTATTCAAACACAGTCATAATTCTTGCCATGTGAAAAGGCTGTGAGAGTGTGTCTAATCCTGTAAATGGAAAAAAATGGCCATGTTGATTTCCTCTTTGAATTCTGCATTGCTTTCAACAGTGAATCATTCATTCAATAGACTCATGTCCTTGATCTAAAATTATGAAATTCCTTTCTAAAATGTGGAGAACACAGCCTGTTGACTCCACACTGTTGCATTTCACAGGGTAAAAAAATCACATCAACACAACATCTCATGAATTACATACATAAGGAGTGAATATTTTGACCCAGCGAGGCTTCTTCTCTCCTCGAGCGTACTCAAAGCAGAAAGCCATGCCCTCCTCATCTGTGTCCCATCTCTGCATCTCTCCCCACTCAAAAGAAATCACCTGGTTCTACAATGGATATAAAAACATCAGAATACATAAATAAATGCTATAAATATAATAAAAATGCAATAAAATAAAAACTGTGGCTGTGCTTGCCTCTAGAGTGCCCTCCTCAGTGCATGCATGCAGTTTGAAGTTGTGAATACTGATGGCTGTGATGACGTGGCCTTTACGACGGGAGTCGCACGGACAATGAGGGAATATAATCTCATTGTAGCCTTCACAGCTTCTCAGCAAATTCAAGTACTAAATAAAAAAACAAAGACAGCAAATATAGGGCATGTTAGAACTATAGATAGATCATCTCACAGTAGTGGAATACCTTTAGCCAGCAAAGTAGGAATATTTCTAAATAATTTTCTTCTATACTAAGGAAAATAATTGATACTTGACACCATAATGTTAATAGAAAACACTCTTTGTATGAAATATGATTTAATTTTCAACACAAAAATAATAGTTTCTGTAAATCTGGGCGTACCCTAGGATATTAAATCAGTTTCATCTAATAAACTTTAATGTGATTTACGTAGCAAAATATCTTATTACAAAATGTGACAGGCCTATGCTCATCAAAAACTAAAACTAAGTTAAAAGAAGAGGATTAAATACCATAGACATCTTCTGTTGCTCCTCTAGCTTCTGGAGCTGATATGACTTCTGCTCAGCTTTTATAAACCCTTTAGTCACATCTTCCACTGCCTGTGAACATAAACAATGATTTATAAACTGTAAATAATCTGAAAAATCAGGTAATTGACATGAACCAGCAGCCTGAGCCCTGACCTGGTGGTAGAAGTAGGAGAGGGCGAGAGGATTGTCACTGAGCAGAACCTCTTCCTCTGTGGTGAAGAGCCACTTCCTTAGAGTGAGGCAGGTCCCTGGGATGGCCGAGGTGTAGTTCTGTACATATAGTTTATGAGGGAACTCGTTGGGGGCAAGTTTACGCACTACAACAGAACACATCAGGTATTATTATATTTAAATGGTCACAAATACACAGAATATGGTTATTTGAATTATTTTTTAAAGTTTGAAGTCTGAGCTTTCCATTGATTCCACATTTTGTTATGTTGATTTTTATTATTTAAAGTATGCCTTAATTTCTCAGGGAAAAAAACATGAACTAAATATACTCACTGAAGGTGTGGTTGATGACCTCAAACAGTGCAAAGTAACTGGCCATAATACTGTCCATGCCAAGTTTGTTCACCACCGCCTAAAGTCACAAGACAACAGTAAAATAAATATATCAAAATGCTGACTGCGACCATTTAAATTGAAATTGGACTGGGATTCATATTTCAGCCGTATATCTCAAACAAAGTAAAAGTAGTTGATGTGCTGTGGACTGTTTACCTGGTACACCTGATCGGTGGTGGCGTTCCTCCGGACTCTGACAGTGAGCGTGGTTTTATCAGGCATGGCTATTCTCAACTCAACATCTGAGATGCCATTGGAGTTCTATAGTCACACAAACAGATCAGATTAAGAATTGCTCAAACTGCTATTACAATATTGTGATTATTTTTATTACCTCGTCTGATTCTGATAGAAACTCTTGCATGATATCGCTTTCACCAATGGCTCGAACAGAACACACTGCCAATGAACAGTGAAGGTTAAACAGTTTACATTAACTGGATAAAGTGCTGGTGCAGGGATGAAAGATTTGGCAAAACACAAAACGCCAAATGCAGCAAGTAGTAATACTGCAATTCCATTTGTTTTCAGAAATTGAGATTCGTTTACAGTGCACAATTTAAACCTGCCCAGAATCCCTGAAATATGAAATGCTAAACGAATACATGAATCATGTGTATTTCAAAACATGTTTATAGCTTTTGTAAATTTGTCAGAACTCAAATATCTCTTGCTACGGGCTTTATCTGGATGACTGAGGGATTACACAGACATGTTCATAAGTGTATTTGATTACACATAATCTTTCAGTCCTGGTATCAAAAACCAAGTAACAAATTAGTGCATCCTCACCTTTCTCTAAGTATTCTTCTAGTCCTCTGCGCCGTGCGTCCAGCTGCTGCTCGGACATGGAAAAGGGCCATTTCCCGGGCAGTTTGGGGAAGGTGAAAGTCGTAAACTCTCTTTTCAGGTTTTGGTGTAAAATGACAAACTCCCTGTAACGCTTTGAGCACAGCTGTCTGCCAGCCATGCACACATTATACACCTGTGAGGAACAGAAGGAAAACAGGTCAATGAGAGAAGGACAAGAGACAAGTGACGCTTGGGTCGAACTGGTTTTATCAAATGAAAGCTTAATAAATGAGATCTATCCACTGCCAGAATATAAACACATATATTATATTATTAGTTACTTAGGAATTAAAAACAAAACTAAATCTTTTTAACAATTATTATTTCAGTGTCATAAGGACTGCTAAAATTCTTATATTTTATTCTTTATAAATTTGCAAGGTTTTCCAGGAAATGCTAGTAAGACTGTCTTCTGGGCTTCTAGGCATGAGAACTAACATCAGAAGTTGTTTTCTGTAGCAGCAAATTCACATACCAAAATTTCACCAATTAATTTCCACACCAGAGAAACCCAGCCCTACTTGTCATAGTCCTCTTTGAAATAACAGAAGACTTTAGCGCTCACCACAAACTTCTCCTGGTTGAGCTCTGTGTGCTTGTAGCTGGGGACAGAGATGGGCACAGCCTGTTTGTCGGAGTAGTCGTAGCAGGAGTGGGCGGAGCCTTCGTCCCCGGGGTCCGAACAGTCGGCCTCCTGAGGGGGCACGGACAGCACCCTCAGCACCAGCTCCCGCTCTCCCGCCCGGATCAGCTCCACCACCTGCTTATGTGTTGCTCCTTCAACATTCACCCCATTTCTGAAAAAGACAGAGATAAGGACAGGGTTAATGTTAACTATTTTGTGATAAAGCAGTTAAGATAGAAAAATAAAGAGCAAAAATGCTGGATATTTGATCTAGGGCTCAAACTAAAGATTATTTGCTAATCAAGTAAGATGTGCACTGGTGAGAAACAACTTTGCATTTTAGCCTGTACTGCAATAAAGTGATCTAATTAAAGATTTGATGCAGAAGAAGTCAACTTGCTTGAAGACGTCTTCAGAGAGTATACTTGGAGATTTAAAAAATGTATTGAACGTAATTAATTCACACATTTTTATTTTGATTTCATTACTCAATTACTGAAATGATTGTGTAATAGCAATTTAATAGTCAGTGATAATTACCAGTAGCCAGGTTAGTGCCACCTATTGCCTCCACTCAATTTCATTTCTTTCCAACGACTAAGTCAGGAATCGTAAAACAATAGACGGTTCGCAAAAACCCCGGAAGTGAGAGTTCGGGCACCAGCCAATCAGCAAAGAGCCAAACATTCTGTGTTGGCAACGATTCCCGAGATCGAGAATTTAAAGCAGGAACAATGAGAAAGTTTGGTGAATTTTATCATGGGGAAAGACGTTATTGCCCTTCTTCCTACGGGATTTGGGAAAAGCTTAATACCAATACCAGTTAGCCCTGTTAGCGGTGGAGTACATACATCACAACCAAATAGCAGCGATTGGTTAAAAAAAAAAAAGTCAGACGGTTTCCACGAAGTGAAACCAGCTGATGAATCAGGCTAAATTACCAGGACTACACAGACTAAATTAATAAGTTTGTTGTTCAATATTTCTTAAGTAATATGTATACGATGATTAAGTAATACTTTGATTTAAACATCAACCGACTATTTTTCTCTCTAAATGAGTGTTAGTAGAAACTGTAACTGTAAAAGAATTGTCAACATAAACAGTTTCATAGAAGCTTTACGTCGCACTGTGTGTACCGTATGTTGGGTCCAAATGACAGTGCAATGTAAATAGCCGGTAGTTAACTTGGCTTGAAAACAGTTCCACACCCTCTTCTACAAGCTCAGAGCATCAACTCAAGATACTGTAAATGGATACTTTGCCAATTGCAGGTCATTCTACAACTAAACAACTACACAGTCTTGCTTACGGTTAAGGTTTGCTAATTTGCTGTTGTATAAAAAGTTACACATTTGCTGTAATTTAGAAAGCAAAATACCATCTTAAATGAGCACTATGAGGCCTTTCTAGTGGAGAGCTCATATCCTGCTTGCTTTGCCTAATATGTTCCACAGTATAGTATTAATTTATCTATCTCCATGGAGACAAGCGGGTGATGCCAAAAGGCCGAGTTACAGGGCGAGACAGCTCACAGTAGGACTGCACGCTTTGCTTTGCTTAGCTTTTTTGAACAATAACGACTCCTGTAACGGAATAAATGCAAGCTAGAGATTTTTAATGATATACTGTTAAGTGTCTCTGAGCGTCCAAAAAAGCGCTACATAAATCTGATCCATTATTTATTATTACACTAAGGAACATTGGTAATAGTGTTATGGAGACAAGCAGGCAAAGAATAAAAAGTTACTTAGTGTATCTTTTAAGAAATATCTTTGGTGATATTTGTGTGCCTGCCAAAAAAACGGAGAAAAAGCTAAATTTGCACTCATCAGCATATTTCTGACACGAGTTTAATGCAATAATGGGGTCAAACAGCAGCTAGGTTACTGCAGGGCATTCGGTGACGGTGCAGTGTGCAGTGCAGCCAATTGGATGACAGAGCTGCGCTGATGAAAAGCCAATGAGAACTGAAGAGGAGGCAGACCCCGCTTTCTGCACCCCCGGTCCACACAAGAGCATCACTGTGCGGCACAGATCTCCATAGCAACAAAGTCAAGCCTTCTCAAACTAAGAACCTAGTCAGCACCTAAGGGAGACCTGATTAAAGTTAAAGTGCACAGAGTAATGTTGTATCCGCTATGGGCACAAGTGCGTTATTAGGAGTTAGTGCGATGCATTTTAGATGACTAGCCTGGTGTTATTGGACTGATGTCTGCAGAAGAGTGGTGTGGGGTGAATCGCAATGATGTCCGGATGTGTCCCCTTGGATAAACAGACCGCTCATTCATTTGGATAAAAAGTGCAGACTGGCACCAAATATGCAAAATAGTTGTACATTTTAAAGGTGTACTGAGCAACTTCTCTGTAGTAAGGTTCACCACCTCCTTTTCTTTAAGAAGGCAATGTTTTTCCCATAATTTTACACAGTATATCATTAAATACATCTACTTACGTCAAGCAGGTGCCAGATTACAGGTCATATCTGTGCAGAGGCGACCCCCATGGTATGTTTTCAAGGTTTTTCTGCGCTAAAACACTTAATTTAATTTATATAAGCTCGACTGTGGAACATTCCAGCAAAGCAATAGCATCTCCATGGACACAAGCCAGCGCCTGACCTCCAGCAGTAAAGTTACACAGTGCAGCTTTAAGATTAACGCATATTTCTCACGCCACTTTTCATAATTACATACAAACGCGTGTAAGATTGACACAGGTAACACAGAAACATCCACTTACACCTCCAGGATCCTGTCCCCCTTGGATATCCCGGCTCGGTCCGCTGCGCCCCCGGGCAGCACGGCGGAAACGTGTTGCAGGGGCGCGTAAAGCTCTCCATTGATGCTCCGGAGCTGACCCCCTTCGCTCACCTGCCCGCGGACATTGAAGCCGTAGCCCGAGTTGGATTTGACAATCCGCACCAGCCTGGGGCCCGAGGAGGTGACCGTGCCCGTGGAGGTGGTGGAGGACGGGGTGAGAGCGGGGGTCTGACAGCTGTGCCGCGGGGGAAACTGGGACTCCGGAGCGGCCGCGGCTGAACCGAAGCCCTGATCCTCGCTATCCGACATGTTTCCCTACAAAATAAGCATCTAAACAGGCCTACGTAACGCTACTTATACGCTAGAAGTAACAGGCTAGTCAACTCGGCTAGCTAAGTGGCAGGGAGGATATACTTCCATGGGAGGAAACGAAACATCCCGAGTGCTTCCGAGGATTTCCGAAACCGCCCCAAAAACATGCGCTCCTCTCCGGTCATCTGCCTCCTATAGGCGGTGCTGCTACTGTGTGTCTCAGCCTTATAGTTACAAAACTCGGCTATTATAGAGCATGAGACAGTTTTTATTATGGTTACAACACTCGAGTTACAGTTTGTTCAGAAAAAAAAAAAAAAAACAAACTCATAGAAGGAATCCCATCCAAAATAAATCAGTAAAAGCCATAGCCTAGATAGGTCAAGTTTACTAAATATTATATTATTAATGGCCTAGAACTGTTCCTCCTCCTGCTTGTCTCCATGAGAATATGTTTCCTTTGGTTACAGTTTTCTAGATGGGATGAAAGGAAATGACGTGCCACCCCAGAAAGTTGATTAAAGTTGAATCTTACATAGTGTTGAGTCCCTTTAAGAGGATCTCCTCAAATAACTTGTATTTTCATGTAATATGCAGGTTTGCACTACTAAACTATTAGGCTATTTGAACATGTTTATTCTCCAAAAAAACAAAAAAACAAAACAAAACAAAAAAACAAAGGAGGAGGACAGAGTGTAAAACATACAAGTAGACTTCCTCTTGTATTATGTAGAGGCTATTGAGTGGTTGTTCAAACAAACTGCATTTAATGATCAAATTCAGTGCAGTAGGCTTCATCGTGGTTATCCTGGTTGTTGTTTTGTAAACCTATAGACCTAATTTATTAAATCACAAAGTTTAGAAGTACATTTTATTTCACTGCCCTAAATGCTTCCCAAATTAAAAGTAAAGTGTGACTTGTAAATTTCTTCACATACTTCATGATTAAGTCCATGCAAACACAATGAAAACCACTTTGTATTGACAAATGTTTTAATGTGATAATTAAAACCATTCAGTGCTGTCCCCCTGACATCATGTCACGGCACATCAATGCCGTGGACCCAACAAGTGTGAGAAACTCTTGAAAATCAAGTGTGCCACTCCCATCTGAATCCAGCACCTTAAACATTTCCTCCAGCTGATCATTTTTCTTCAAAAAACAAACAAACAAATAGTGCTAAGATTAGAATTTTTATATAAATGCACCTTTGACTGGTAGAACATGAGCAACATTCCCATAATTGTACAGTTTCTTTCTTATTCTTTGTAAAATAATGTTCTATGTGATATAATGTTTGGTTTGTATGCTTTATTAGATTTAGGAAAGCTCCAGTGATAGGGGTAAAGAAGATGAGCAAATTACTTGCTCAAGATTACACTGCAAGAATCAGTTCTTTTTATTATTTATCAATTTCTTTTTTTTTTTTTTTGGCAGCATTTTGATTATTTGAATGTGCAAACAACAATTATAAAACATAGACACATAGATCAGCTTGCTAAAAAAATGGGAATGCCTGCTCCAGATCACTCTACCAGCACCATTATGTTGTATATATTTAAAATGTACTCACTACTTTATTTCCCATTTCTTTACGAAGCAGTTTCACAGCTTCCACTTTGGAAATAGTATTTCCACCTTTTGCTGCTTCGAGGAAGACCTTGTTGATAAGAAGTCCAGCCATGAGGATCTCTCCCAATTGTTCCTCGCCAGCCATGATGACTGCAACCACCAGAATACCACAAGTTGTAAAAGCACAAATAACTAAAATGTATGTGAAAATATCAAGCAAAACACAACCCAAAGCCTTTGAACTCACGTGGTGTGCACAGCTCGTTGTACAAGAGTTGCTTGCAGAATGTGGGCAGAGGGTTTAGACAGAGACTGCCTTATATTTGGCTGTCCCGCCCTAGCATTGTTAGTATTGTGCCTGGGGACAAATCATACACGTTAGTGCTGGCATTCCTATCAGGAAGGTTTTTGGCAGGACAAAATTAATAAAATGTGTTATGTAAGAGGCAGTTTCTTGCTCGATGGGTTTTTACATACTCACTCCTCAGTGCCACTGAGTTACATGAAGCATTGGTACTTTGTAGTTATTATGTTTGGGGTGTTTCCTGACAACAATCAGATCTTATTAATCCATCAGAAATGTGTTGTAAGTGCATGCACTGTCTTTATTGAAGTTTAATTAGTGTTATAGACAAAAAAGTAAATGGATTTAGAATTCAGCTCAGAAGTAAATGTTTTAAATGTTTAACAACAGAAAAACTTTGTCCATCTGAAAACTTTTTGAAAACTTCTGTTGCTGTGGAACACACCTAGGTTACAGGGGATTACATGACACGCCTTATAGCCGAGTTGCAAGATTGCACTTTCTGTTCTTTTTATCGTTTCTCAACTCTGTTTTGCAGCTTTCTGATAGTTTTCCTACACAGACGCAGAAAATGATCAGTCTACATCAATATGCCAATTTAATATCCACTAAACACTTTTTTAGGGTTAACTGAGACTGCCTTCACACGTTTGTGGGTTTGGTTCATATAGATGTGGTGTGTGTTATATGTGAACACTCTTTGTTTGGCCTGGAATGCAGTAAGAGACATCAACACACATAGTCAGTGTTTGACATGACTAACCCTTTTATGAGTCTACCACTAAGAGTTTGAACCACAAATATGAAGGCAAAGCAAGGCAAGCTGTAGCCCCACCCCCCCAAAACAAAAAAAACAAAAAAAACAAAAAACACACACACACACACATAAAACACACAAAATCATTTCAGTAATATGCATAGCTAACAAAACCAATAATGTTAGGGTAGTAGTAGGGTAGTATTGTTCTTAATGACTGGAAAGCTCTTAGTGTTTTTGCCTGAAAAGCACTTTTACAATTTGATCTGTTTTGATTTGAAGCATTGTCAGGCACTTTTATCAACAATAGTCCTGTCAGATGTTATTAGTTGATGTCTTCGTACACGTTTCCTCTTGATCTGAAGGAATGATAGTACACTGTGTATTTAAAATGAATTGATAAATTAGAAAATATTAATTAATTAATTTGTGATTTTTAGACACACGATTTGTGTGAGCTAATTAATATTATACACAAAATCTAGAACTTCTGTTGTAAATAAATCCTTTTTGAATTCTATTGTCTTGAGTTTACAAGTTAAGTTCTAATACCAAGAAGTAGTGATGATGTGCTTCTACAATAAGTGCAATTCAGTATAATTCACTATAAAAGAATTATCACGCACTTTAATAACTCTATTACAATGTGAAAAACGAAAAACATCTCAGAATGCTTAGATGTGTTTAATGTGGTCATTGCAGCTTTCCGGGTTAAAGAAAGGGTCGAGTCTAGAATTTGAGAAAGGGGGGAACAACAATAACACCTCCTACTGTTGAGCCGATGCCCTCTAGGCCACGCTGAGTGAGTGACAGGCGGACTGCAATAAAATGTGAAGCATATGACAAAAAAAAAGCACAAATGCACTTGATATTATGAGTAACTTATGATATTATTTTTTATGTAGGTTTTAATAAATTTGTTGTAAAAAGCACAATTTTCACAAACAAGGCATAACAGTTGTATTTTTATAATGTTAATTTATAAATGCATTAGTCAGTAGTTGATTTCAAAGGTGTCTGGACCGAGTAAACACAGTCCAACAAATCTCGTTACATGGACCTAACTTAATATTCAGAAATTTCTCAAATATATTTTATTTAGTATATTTACCACTTTGTCTCCCAGAATCTCTTTACACTTGACACTTCATGCACTTT